GATTAGATAGTCTTAGTTTTCCTTTATTAGTGGATAAAGAAGCTGAAGAGCCCAGGGTACCCCTCTGTTTTTCACAGGAAAAAAATGCCAGGTCCATTCTTCACATGGGTTAAGAAAACCCAGGGTGGAAAGGAAGAAATGGGACCTTAAAACTGAAGAGGGGAGCAAGGAAGCTTTCAGAGTAAATGCATTTTTAAAGCTATTAATGAGGGTTTCTGGGCACAGCTATGATCTCTGGAGCAGCACAGAAGTTATCCTTCCAGCACCAGCATCATTAAGTGCTGTACAATACATTCTGGGAGATGCTCTGATGAGTTTTATACCCCATGATGAGCCAGCCAAGAGATTGGCAGGAGAATGTAAGTGGTGTCACCTACCATCTTCTACACCTGAGCAGTGCAGAGAAGAGGCTCTCCTGGGGCTAACCCATGCCACCTTCCCTCCTCTCTGCAGGCTACATGACTCCAAGCCCTCTCAGTTCCTCTCCCTCTGCTCCTGGGGCTCACAAAGACTGAATAGCAAACATCAGAAGGGTTGAAGACTTCTCATGCCTGTGTACAGCTAAGGCTGGGTTTGTTCCTGGATTCTCAGTAGACTATGACAATACTGGTGAGGAAACAGCACTGGGGGCCAAAGGCAATGTGACTGCATAGCAGTAGTATTTTCATGAAGAAAACATCTCACTAACTAGTTGCGACCAACAGTTTCCTTGGTGCAGGGCAGGAGGATAAGCAAGAGGTAAGTCCCCCCTGCCCCATGCTGCATGTGATGGATGAAGCAAGAAGATGTTTTCTCACCTTGGAAGAGTTTTCTGACGTAGCCCTCGTTGCTCACAATGTATTCGATGCCCTTGTGGGAGTTCATGACTGCTCTCACACAGCTAATGCAGGTGAGCTGAAGCAAGGCATCAGAAATCCTGGCCACCCCTCGCCCTGACAGCCTGTCCAGGGCCTCCAGGAGGAGGTCCAGTCCACACAGCTCCAGGAACTGCACCATCCAGGCATCGTCGCTGTTCTCCAGCCGCTTCTTCAGCCCAGAGTAGTTCACCACCGATGGCATCTGCAGGAGACGGATGCACAGCTCTGGCTCTGCATTCTCCAGGTTGGCCTCGGACTGGTCAGTCTCCTGGGGGCCAAGTTTCTCCTTCAGGGCAGCCCACTTCTTGTGGGCACCTTCCTTCTTGATTGACATGGTGAAGAGTTTGTCCTGAAAGAAAAAGAAAAGGCAAAATGAGAAGTTTGACTGGACTGATCATGAATTCTCCATCAGCTCTGGTTTTCCTCCAGTGATCGGGATGTAAAGCCCAACTGCAGCAGGTCCCATCTGCCCAGCATGTCCCCAAACCCAGCACCTAGGATTGCAGGAGAGTCTTGATTTCCCTTCCTGGCTCCAGCATAAGGGTTTCTAACCCCGCAGCAAGTAGAGAAAAGGCTTGAAAAATCTAAACTGAGTAATCTCTGGAAGGCTTTCTTTTCCAGAAAGCCAAGATAAAGGATGGAGTATTTAGACTGGTTGGAAATAATCTCATTTTAAAGCTTGCCTTGCACTTTCTTTTCTAGGGACTGCACTGGTGAGAAAGGTCCTGGCTGCTTCCCTACAGCAGAGCTTCTGTTTTACCCAAAGACTCCTCCTGGCAGTCACCCCTTGGCAAAAATACAACCAAAAGGTTTGCTCACTGAGTTTTGGTAGGCACGATATGATAGGCTTCAACATGCCTCTTGGAAAGATGCAAAGTGTGATGGGATAGGATATTTGAACCAACTGCCCTAAGAAAATGTGACATTTGGGACTCTTTGGCAGGGACACTCAGCTCACGGCATCAAAGTCTGCACAGAGAGGGCACAGAGGTGATGGAGTTAGTGGGATATGGGGACAGAAAAGCCCTTTAGAGAGCTTCGGAGAAACCTTCTTGCAGAGTTTCCCTATGCCTCAGTGGGAAAGGAGCTGGACAAGAGCCCAGTTGTTCCCTGTGCTGTTAGCTGCAAAAATGATGGTCAGGATAGAAACCCATGAAGGTGTGAATATACCATTTGAGAACACACTGTACAGCTGAAAAGTGATAAAAAGGACCATAAAGGAAATGAAACCCAATGAAACCCCAAACAACAAACCCTCCTGCCAAAGCACCACCTTGAATTTCTGAGATTTGTCATCACTGTCTGCAGCCTAGAGTCCTTACTCACTCCTGGTAACATTCCTGGAGAGATTAGTCAACCCCAGTCCCTCCCCTGTACCCAACCCAGGAATTTGGGTTAGGCTTGATGCAAGGGAGAAGAGAAATCCTCCCTTCCTGGAGGGAGAGAAGCAAAAGTGTCCTGCCCCAGGGACATAGCCCTGGCAATGGGGCAGCATCCTACCCCTCTCACCACAGTGAATTTATAGCCTTGGGGCTGGAAAGGTGCTGCTATGGACCTGTGGTCAAATCCTGTTCCATGCTGTGTATCCAAGCCCATCCATTCTTTGCCAGTGCCTAGGGTCAAGGCTGGACCTTGGCATGGAGCAGTTGAGGACATCAGAACCTCCAGATGGGTCTCACCAGAGCAGAGCAGAGGGGCAGAATCCCCTCCCTTGCCCTGCTGCCCACACTGCTGTGGCTGCAGCCCCGGCCTGGGCTGGTCTATGGGCTGAGCTCACACTGCAGCTCATGAGGAGTTTCTCATCCACCATCACCCCCAAGTCTCTCTCCTCATTGCTGCTCTCAGTTCCTTCCCCATCCAACCTGTAGCTGTGCCTGGGATTGCCATGGCCCAGATGTAGGACCTTGCACTTCATTCTGTTGAACTCCATGAGGTTTGCATGGTTCCACCTTTCAAGCTTGTTCAAGGACTTCTTTCTACACTCAGCAAATCACTTCTTTAATTTGCACATGACTAAACATTTCTTATCAAAGCACATAACAAAGCAGCCTCAGCCTTTTGCTCCCAGATGCCCAAATACTTCATTATATTGGATTATATTATATTGTAACAGCTACAGCAAGTCAGAGAGGTTATAATAGCATGATTGACCTCAGGCTTAGCTGATCTCTGAAAATTAAGCTCCCCCAGTGCCACAGGACACAGGAAACACTGACAGAGCATCCTGTTTACTACTGGATTTGTTCTGAATTATCCTTCCCTCCCACCTGCTCCACACAGATGTGCAAAGATGAGAAACAGACCCCAACAGGTACCTCTCCAAACAGTCCTGTCTTGTGTTTTTATGCACCAAACCGAACAAATTGGATGGATTAAATGTTCTTCCCCACAGAGAGTGAACTCTTTAAAAAAAAAAGAAAAAGATAGTAATGTATCTAATCATAAAAAGGGAATAAAATAAATAGGAGCTGCACTATATAAATGGAGAGGAAATGAATATGGAGGAGATGGGAGGATGATTCTGCAGATGGTGTGAGAAATCTGTTTACAAACACAGATCTGAGTGATATATTATGAGTGCAACATCTTTCCATATTTGCCATGGAGCACAGGGTTGAAAAGATGTTCAGATACATTAATCATAAAAAGGGAATAAAATAAATAGGAGCTGCACTATATAAATGGAGAGGAAATGAATATGGAGGAGATGGGAGGATGATTCTGCAGATGGTGTGAGAAATCTGTTTACAAACACAGATCTGAGTGATATATTATGAGTGCAACATCTTTCCATATTTGCCATGGAGCACAGGGTTGAAAAGATGTTCAGATACATCCTTAAAGGGCTGGTAGTTTTGCCTTTTATCTCTAACCACAGGAGCTTATTAGCAGGTAAAAGATCTCAGCAGAGGGAGAAAGATAAGGATGAAAATGGAAAGCATTTACCTGTCTGGCTCATAGAGGCTATTTAGGCTGTACTGGAAGAGGGAAGGAAAGTTCCTGACAAAAAGAGACAAGACACTGGAGCCACAGCCACAACACAGAATTATAGAATAGTTTAGGTTGGAAAAAGACCCTTAAGGTCTTTTAACCCAGCACTGCCAAGCTGATCACTAAACCATGTCCCCACATCTTAAATCCAACCCTCTCTTCATATTCTTACCCTCAGAGATGGGTTAGACCTGATGGGGAATGACAACTAAAGAAGCATCAATGCAAAAATCCTCTTCATTTTAGGACATTCCTTTGGGAAACATAAAGGCATCATAAAGGTTTGTCCTCATGCATCTGGGACAGCAGCACTGCAATACATGGTGCTAACTTCTTGGATAATTGGGTTTGCCAAGCCATAATGTTCCCTGCATCCATCTAACCCAGTTTGTCAAATTTCCTCCTTCTTTCTGTCTGAATCAGGTGCTTCTCAGATTCAGTTTTCTGTGCCCCTCTGTCCTTCAAGGCAGCTCCCAGGGAGCTGACATCTGTGGGAGATGAATCAGAGCATGCCAATACTTCCTCCACCCTGGGAAGCTGCACAGCTTTCAGTCTGAATTATTCCATGCCTCCAGGACGACATGGATCACAGCAAGGACTGGGGAGGACACGCAAAAAGAGATTTCTCAGGGCTGCTAAGTATAACTGAGTGAAAACAAAAGGAAGAAAAATTACAGGTCTAAACCTTACTGTTTTTTTGGAAGCAGACCCTCTCCCTGTGCTGAAGACCAGGGTGGGTGTGAGGAGGAACAGCAGATCTTTGAGCCCTTTGAAGAAGTCTGGGAGCATCCCAATGCCACATGCTGCCCTTGCAGCCCTCCCCAAGGCTGCTGGGGCACACTGCTGGCCCTTGAGAAAAGCTCCTTTATGCTGCTCAGCTCTCCCATGCCTGTTCCTGGCACTCCAGAGCCCGTTCTGCCTGGCTCACTGCTAATGACAGGCTTTGCTGCTGGGTAGCTCCAGTTTTCACTCTGCTGCTGGGAACATGCCAAGCCTTTGTCTTTTGCAACATGTCAGACTACTCAGACACTAAAAAGAAACAGCATCCTGGCTTTGTGCTTTCCAGAATCACTTCTAGGAGAGTGACTGGTTTCCTCCACCTCTCCTTTTGCTTTCAGTCGTACTGTTTGTTTTCTGTGCGGCGTCGTAACAACTCACGTACTAACCAAATTAGCCTCCCACACGCTGAGACTAGTGGGGGGAGCTACAAATCTGGTTTAGAAACCAACCTGACCCTTGCTGTGGGCCCACTAGCAGCTGTAGGAGCTGGCAGCACTCTCAGTCTCCCAGGGGAGCCAAGGGGAAGGGTATAGTGGGAAATTCCAAGGCATGTTTTGCCCAACAGACCTTGCCTAAGCCTTCAAACCAACTGCTGCTCCATCCTTCTGCTGAGCAGCCTCACTAACCATTAGATCTACATATTACTGGCCAGAATGTGTGAATTATGCTCAGAAAATGAAGAAGCCTTGGAATGAGTGCCCACTCTTGCTCTCCAGTACTAAAGAAGTTCATGAAGTGTTTGGCACGCTATGCCTTGCATTGGCACAGCCCATGAGTGAGGCACAGAGATCTCACAGACCTCTCTATCTGTGTCCTCAGCAGTGCTGCACCATTATGGGGAGGGTTTTGTCTATAGGAAATGAGGGAGCATGGACACAGAGCCTGCTGCAGCTGGCAGGCAGAAGCTGTGCCATCCCCACGCTGACTGAGCCTGGCACAGGACTGGCAATGGCTTCTTCTGGCAGAAGAAGAGAAGGAATCCAGTGCATAGGCAAAAAGTGGCCATACTGGTATAAATGTGTATGGATTTTGCCAGTATAGCCCTCAAGGGCCTTGAGGGGAAGCCACATGAGGAGTGGCTGAGGCACTTGGGCTGTTCAGCTGGAGAAGAGGAGACTGAGGACAGAGCTCATGGCTGGATACAACTTCCTCAAGGAAGAAGTGCAGGGACAGCTCTGGGACCAGGGACAGGACCCAGGGAATGGGCTGAAGTTGTGTCAGGGGAGGGTTAGACTGGAGATTAGCAAATGGTTCTTCTTTCCCCAGAGGTGTTTGGGCACTGAACAGCTCCCCAGGGCAGTGTCACAGCCCCAAGGCTGACAGAGCTCCAGAGGTGTTTGGCCAATGCTCTCAGGCACAGGGTGTGATTGTCAGGGATGTCTGTGCAGGGCCAGGAGTTGGACTGGATGATCCTCAAGGGTCCCTTCCAACTCTCAGTATTCTGTGATTCTTTCACAAATAAAGGAAAACCACATTGTCCTAACTCAGTCCCATCCACCACTCTCAGGATGTTGTGTGCCAGCACAGCTTTTCTGTGCTGGGCAAATATAAGCCATGATATCA